CACAGTAATGTGCAGTGTGTATGAGTGTATCACAGAGCCCCACAGCTATAAAACTCACAGTAATGTGCAGTGTGTATGAGTGTATCACAGAGCCCCACAGCTATAAATCTCACTGTAATGTGCAGTGTGTATGAGTGTATCACAGAGGCCCACATTTAAACACACGGATGTGCAGTGTGTATAGGCATCACAGAGCTCCACAGTATTAAACACAGTAATGTGCAGTGTGTATGAGAGTAGCACAGAGCTCCACAGCTATAAAACTCACAGTAATGTGCAGTGTGTATGAGTGTATCACAGAGCTCCACAGCTATACAACTCACTGTAATGTGCAGTGTGTATGAGTGTATCACAGAGCCCCACAGCTATAAAACTCACTGTAATGTGCAGTGTGTATGAGTGTATCACAGAGCCCCACAGCTATAAAACTCACAGTAATGTGCAGTGTGTATGAGAGTAGCACAGAGCTCCACAGCTATAAAACTCACAGTAATGTGCAGTGTGTATGAGTGTATCACAGAGCCCCACATTTAAACACAGGGATGTGCAGTGTGTATATGCATTACAGAGCTCCACAGTATTAAACATATTAACATGCAGTGTGTATGAGAGTAGCACAGAGCTCTACAGCTATAAAACTCATAGTAATGTGCAGTGTGTATGAGTGTATCACAGAGCCCCACAGCTATAAAACTCACAGTAATGTGCAGTGTGTCTGAGTGTATCACAGAGCCCCACAGCTATAAAACTCACTGTAATGTGCAGTGTGTATGAGTGTATCACAGAGCCCCACAGCTATAAAACTCACAGTAATGTGCAGTGTGTATGAGTGTATCACAGAGCCCCACAGCTATAAAACTCACTGTAATGTGCAGTGTGTATGAGTGTATCACAGAGCTCCACAGCAATAAAACTCACTGTAATATGCAGTGTGTATGAGTGTATCACAGAGCCCCACAGCTATAAAACTCACTGTAATGTGCAGTGTGTATGAGTGTATCACAGAGCCCCACAGCTATAAAACTCACAGTAATATGCAGTGTGTATGAGTGTATCACAGAGCCCCACAGCTATAAAACTCACTGCAATGTGCAGTGTGTATGAGTGTATCACAGAGCCCCACAGCTATAAAACTCACTGCAATGTGCAGTGTGTGAGTGTATCACAGAGCCCCACATTTAAACACAGGGATGTGCAGTATGTATAAGCATCACAGAGCTCCACAGTATTAAACACAGTAATGTGCAGTGTGTATGAGTGTATCACAGAGCCCCACATTTAAACAAAGGGATGTGCAGTGTGTATAAGCATCACAGAGCTCCACAGTATTAAATACAGTAATGTGCAGTGTGTATGAGAGTAGCACAGAGCTCCACAGCTATAAAACTCATAGTAATGTGCAGTGTGTATGAGTGTATCACAGAGCCCCACAGCTATAAAACTCACTGTAATGTGCAGTGTGTCTGAGTGTATCACAGAGCCCCACAGCTATAAAACTCACAGTAATGTGCAGTGTGTATGAGTGTATCACAGAGATCCACAGCTATAAAACTCACTGTAATGTGCAGTGTGTCTGAGTGTATCACAGAGCCCCACAGCTATAAAACTCACAGTAATGTGCAGTGTGTATGAGAGTAGCACAGAGCCCCACAGCTATAAAACTCACAGTAATGTGCAGTGTGTATGAGTGTATCACAGAGCCCCACAGCTATAAAACTCACAGTAATGTGCAGTGTGTATGAGTGTATCACAGAGCCCCACAGCTATAAAACTCACAGTAATGTGCAGTGTGTATGAGTGTATCACAGAGCCCCACAGCTATAAAACTCACTGTAATGTGCAGTGTGTATGAGTGTATCACAGAGCCCCACATTTAAACACAGGGATGTGCAGTGTGTATAGGCATCACAGAGCTCCACAGTATTAAACACAGTAATGTGCAGTGTGTATGAGAGTAGCACAGAGCTCCACAGCTATAAAACTCACAGTAATGTGCAGTGTGTATGAGTGTATCACAGAGCTCCACAGCTATACAACTCACTGTAATGTGCAGTGTGTATGAGTGTATCACAGAGCCCCACAGCTATAAAACTCACTGTAATGTGCAGTGTGTATGAGTGTATCACAGAGCCCCACAGCTATAAAACTCACAGTAATGTGCAGTGTGTATGAGAGTAGCACAGAGCTCCACAGCTATAAAACTCACAGTAATGTGCAGTGTGTATGAGTGTATCACAGAGCCCCACATTTAAACACAGGGATGTGCAGTGTGTATATGCATTACAGAGCTCCACAGTATTAAACATAGTAACATGCAGTGTGTATGAGAGTAGCACAGAGCTCTACAGCTATAAAACTCATAGTAATGTGCAGTGTGTATGAGTGTATCACAGAGCCCCACAGCTATAAAACTCACAGTAATGTGCAGTGTGTCTGAGTGTATCACAGAGCCCCACAGCTATAAAACTCACTGTAATGTGCAGTGTGTATGAGTGTATCACAGAGCCCCACAGCTATAAAACTCACAGTAATGTGCAGTGTGTATGAGTGTATCACAGAGCCCCACAGCTATAAAACTCACTGTAATGTGCAGTGTGTATGAGTGTATCACAGAGCCCCACAGCTATAAAACTCACTGTAATGTGCAGTGTGTATGAGTGTATCACAGAGCCCCACAGCTATAAAACTCACAGTAATGTGCAGTGTGTATATGCATTACAGAGCTCCACAGCTATAAAACTCACAGTAATGTGCAGTGTGTATGAGAGTAGCACAGAGCTCCACAGTATTAAAAATAACACAGGAATGTGCAGTGTGAGTCTTTTAAAAAGTTCCATAGAGGTAGCATGTAATATATATTGCATTAACCTGGCTTTCCCCGAGTTAAAGAGTAATCCAGACGTGGACCCTGTGCTTACTGTGCCTAGAGGGGTATCAGCTACACCTCACTGACGAGGCCCAAAGAAGGCTGAAACGATTGTCTGGCGTTGCTGTATCTCTCATGTAGAGAGAACCTGTTGGAATTTCGGTTCTGGACTGCCCATACGGGTGGGATCTGTCTGATTTGCCTTGGAATAAGTTCTCTCTGTAATGGCACAAGTGAGCAAGAACTACTTTAAGACCTGAATGGGATTTAACGAAGGGCAAGCTACGGAGTTTTTGTAACCGTTTGACCGTCCTCAGAGTTGTCCTCAGAGTTGTCATATTCTTTGTTTTTGTTAGGTTGTAATAAATGTTTTATTTCCTTTTTTATTGCACAGCCATTTTCTATATTTTGTGTTAAATAGTTTGTATGAAGAATGCTACTGGCAGCTGCCAGAAAAAAAACATTCTTCCAAACTGGATTTCATCTGCGGGTCTCCCAACTGTATCGCTTTTGGCAAGACTGTCCCGTTTTCACAATCCTGTCCCGCTTTAGACAGCTGAGCAGTCTATGACCATGCAGCAAAATGTCCAGCAGTGGTCCTTGCATGGCCCTGAAGGTCTGCGGCTGGCCAAGCAGCCTTCAGTGGGCTGAACCACATCTTTTTCAGGTAGGGCCACCCATTATGGGTGTCACTCGTGACGTGGGCCATATTACATGTCTCTGACGATCTTACTCTAGATGACTCCCAGTAGTTTTCCAGAAGCCTCCAACAGCCAAGCCAATTAAAAGAATCCCTTAATTTCTGAGAATAACCTTTGGCCATCTGCCCTAAATAAGAAGATACGCAGTTGTTTGTTTTTTCTGACTTACTAGCCAAGTACAGATTTTTTAGCAAAGGGAACAAACAGCTTTGATGACCCCAAACTGATTTTATGAACATGGCAAAACCTTTAAAGACATTACAGTCTCTCACCAACGCTTTGCACAATGAGGGACTTCAATTCGGATCTAAAGAACGTTATGAAACGCAATAATCAGTCGCTGTGGATTGTGTGGTTTAGGCAGATGTCATGAGAAACCCAGCAAATTGAAAGATGCCCTTTTCCTGACCCATAACTCGCAAGCCGCACGGCACAGTTATATAACATAATACAATCCCTTCCAAAGCAACTTGTCAAGAGTTTACACAGAAGCAGAGATGGCAAACTATAGAATTTCATCCTTTCGCATGACAGTCTTTGCTATTATTTCGCTCCTTTCATCTCGGCAATACTAAATGGCACCTTTCAGCGAATATCAGATTTCAAGGGAACTATGGAAATGTGAATCTTCCCAACTTGGCAATTACTCCCCTATAAATATACGTTGCAAAACTAAGGAGATACGTGAAATTGTTATTGCTCACTTGTGCTGCCTGTTAGTTTTGTGTGTGTGTGTGTGTTTATGTGTGTTTTTAACCTAATTTAAGAATACAGACATTTATTCAAGTGGTTTATAAAATACATTAGGGTAAACATGCAGAGGCCCGGGCACACATTTCAGCTTTTTTTTTTTTAAAGGTAACGTAGAGTCTGCAAATTCAGTATTACAATAGCCTACCGGTGTTCCCTCTAAGCATCTACTTATAGTGAAATCTCTCTCTTTCCAGATTCCAATGATGTGGGCTTCTTTGGAATGGTTTATAGTGCGTAGACTGCGCCTTTAAAGATCACAGTCTTGGGGGCGGGGCCGAACCGCCATGCTGAACAGTCGCACACCAGAGCAGCTCCTGCAGCACTTACTAAATTTTGCCTAAAAACCAGCACTAATTTGCCGACGGACAGCTGTGACCCAGTGCAAGAAGACACCCTGGTCCCGAGGAGAGGCTTGCTGCACAGTTTAAGTCCCTTGGAGGGGTGCTCGCCGTCACCTAAGATGGAGAGCGCTCGGGCGGTGAGTGGGACGGACGGCCGCTGCCCTGCTATCCTGCCTACCAGCGGTCTACCAGAAGCACAAAGTTAGGTGGCTGTGGCCCCGTTCCCCCCCCTCTGGACCGGTGGGGGTGATCCCGGTCCCCACCCTGTGGCCCCCTGTGAGTGCGAGACCACCAGCATTTCATGCCGCGGCAGTGTCAAATTAGAGCACGGAGGCCGCATACAAGATGGCGCAGACCACATGCTGAAGCTCCCTCCTCACTTGACTCAGCATCAGCAGACTGTCGGAGCGAATTAAACTGGAATCGGTGATTACCTGCTACGACCACACTAAGAGCCAGAGATCCGGTCCTGGGATGAGCCAAATATGGCAGAGCAGCCAAATACCACACCAACGCAAGAGCAGAGGTCGGCAAACGCAAATCACTGCCCAAGCACGCTCCAACCTACAACCCACAGCCAGAGACATTGATCCACTGTTCTTGCCTCACCTGCCGTACCTCCCAAACCAACGCGTAACAGGCGAAAAACCTGGGCTGACTGCCTGCAGTTCCATACTCTGCACGGGACGGCTAACTTGAGGAGACGCAAGTTAATCACCCGAGGACTACCACTCTGACACTCACCTGGCATAAAACCAGCACGGAGACTATCAGGCTGTCATCACTCCTTGATTCCTCATGGAGATGGGCTTCACGACGCGCGGACACTGACTGCCATCTTTTTAGCACGGGGGTGGCGGGGGGTAGAAAAGCTTCAGAATAAGCTCACTTATCAGATGTTCTCACATAATATTGTTATCGAGCTACCTAGTAACTAAGCTAAGTGTAATGTTGGTTTACTCAGGAATAAGCATTTCCTCACTCATTAAGAGTCTGCTACACTGTTATATCACATTACCAGCGGATAAGCCTGATTAACCTCTTACATGCACGCTAAGATTTGCACCACACTACTGTCTACTCTCATATAATATAAAAATGTGCATAGTCTATCCATGCCATAGGAATGTATATCCATGCTTTGAAAACACTGGCATTTGCTGTTGTGGCATTGCTGGCATAAATGTATTTTGTTTAACCAATGCACGACAAAATAAAGAATTATAAAAAAAAAAAAAATAAAAGATCACAGTCTTACAGACCACCAATGTTTCTTGGAGGGTTAACCGAGATCCTGGTGCCCATTTAATTCTTTAAAATCAGGACTCAAATCCCTTCACATACAACTTACTATTCTTACCATTCTACTAGGTTTCGAGAATTCCACTCTGAGTTACATAGTTACCTACATAACAAGCAATCACTTGCCATTTTTGAATGGCTCATATAAAGTAAAGAAATTGTAGAAAGTAAATTTTCTGAACGAAGAACAAATAATCAAAGGATCCTCGTGATAATCACTCTTCCATTCATTTCCCTAATTGTGGAGTTCATATGCTGATCTTGACTAATACACGCCCCTCGTTTTTAATTAATTCAAGAGTTTCAGCACATTATTTTTTTTTTTTGAATTTGACAATTTTTATTGTACAATGTTCGATATACAATCATGACATTCAATGTACATCACATACAGATCACCCGGTCCCCCATGCCGCTGTTAGGTATTGCAGACATTATACATTCGTATTTATTCTCCCCTGCCCCTCTAGAGGGTGCAGGACTGTAGGTGGTCGTACAGGGGTGTGTCATGCGTATCTGTGCAAGGTTGCCCATGGTCACAAGTGGTCGGGTGCTCTGTGCGCATCATTGTCAAGCATCGTACTTTTCGGGGAAACAAGTGGGTAGGATAGGGGGTGGTTGTGGAGTTGGGGGGGGGGGGGAGAGAGACTGGTTGCGTTGGTTATGTCGGTTCTTTTTGTAGTCCTTCTGATCGTAGGAAGTCGTCCCACCTGTTGTGAGCTAGAGTCATGTGTTTCTTTCCGCCAAATTGTCGTGCATATACTGTCTCGTAGGCCCAATTCAGTTTTGTTTGGTTTATGAGAGCTTCTCGTGATGGGATTGCCGTTTGTTTCCATAGCCTAGCAATGCATGTGACTGCGGATATAAGGATGTGGTATGTTGCTGCCCACTTGTCTTTGGTAAGTGAGTCTGGTGGGATGAATAGGATGCATAGTTCCAGTGTCAGTGAGATTTGTGTTTGTGTGGTGGCATTTATGATTGTTTGCACCTCCTGCCAATAGGGTTTGATGGTGGGGCACGTCCACCAGACGTGAGACATGGTGCCTTTACTCTGGCTACATCTCCAGCAGGTGTCGGAGGATTGCGGCCACATCTGGTGGAGTCTGGATGGTACTAAATACCATCGGTATAACAGTTTGCGCTGCATCTCAATATGAGTAGCGCAGGATGTTACACCTTTGTGCGAGGAGTAAGCCTTAATCCAGTCTGCCAGTGGGATTATTCTGCCTAATTCTCTATGCCAGGATTGAATGTGTGTTTCTTTGCCCTGGTCGAACGCTTGGGTCAGTGCTTTGTAACTGATGGATATTAGTTTTTTCATTGGTTTTCTGTGTGTGCATATCTGTTCAAATTCGGTCATCGGCCTTATGGCTTCGTTAGCCTGTACATTAAGTTTGTTTTTGGCTAGGTAAGATTTAATTTGAAGGTATGCGAAGCCTAGTCTGTGGGGTAGTTGAAATTCTTGTTGTAGGTCCGGAAATAGTTTCAACCCCTTGTCATTGTATAACTGCCCTATTTCTTGGATGCCCATCTGTAGCCATGGTTGTATGTTCAAGTTCGGTATTACATGTTCTAGGGTGCTGGTTGGGGCTGCCAAAGGCAGTGGGTGGTATTGCGTCATTAGGTGCTTTGTGGAGTCCCATACGTGTAGGGTATATTGAGTCGTGGGTAGGAGGTGACTAGTATCTGTCCTATGTGATTTGGGTGTCCACAGGATGGAGTGTAGTGTCGTTGGGTGGGCCCAGCTGTTTTCTATTTCCAGCCACTGTGGGGCTGTGGGATGTTGTCGAAATTGTGGCACTAGCATCAACGATGCTGCTTTGCAATATGCTTTTAGGTCTGGGAAGCCTAGTCCGCCCTGGTTTATCGGCCTTTGTAACAGGTTAGTCGCTACTCTGGGTTTTTTGTTTTGCCATGTGAAGTGCGTTAGCAGTTTCGTGAGTGCTTTGATGTACTTGTCTGGTACTGAAATTTGTAGTGTTCTGTATAGGTATTGGAGTTTGGGTAACAGTGACATTTTTATGGCCGCGATCCGCCCCACCCAGGACAAGTATTTCCCCTCCCAGGAGCTCAGTAGGGATTTAAAGGTTTCTAACAATGGCTGGTAGTTCGTCTTGAAGAGAGACATGGGGTTTTTGGTCATTTTAGTTCCCAAGAAGGTGAGGTGATCAACCCTCCAATCTAGAGGGAACGAGCTCTTGAGGTTCGTCAGTTGTGTTGCGGGGATATTGATACTTAGTGCCTGTGTCTTAGTGACGTTCAGCTTATAATATGACACTCGTCCGTATTCCGTGATGTGGTGCATAAGGTTAGGTAGGGATATGTGTGGTTGCGTTAGAGTGAGGAATATATCGTCAGCGAATAGGCTTAATTTGTATTCTTTCTGACGTAGTGTTACCCCATGGATTGCTGATTCCATCCTGATCTTGGCAGCCAGTGGTTCCAATGCCAGGACGTAGAGCAGCGGGGAAAGTGGACAACCCTGGCGGGAGCCATTAGAAATTTTAAATTTGTCCGAGCAGAATCCTGCGTTTAGGACTTTAGCCGTGGGGCAGCTGTATAGAGCCTCTACTGTGTCTGTGAATTGGGAGGGAAAGCCATATTTCATCAGTACCACCTTCAGGAAGCGCCAATTTAACCTGTCGAAGGCTTTCTCCGCATCTAAGGACATTAGTAGGCTGCCTGTCCCCTTCCGTCTTATGCTGTGTATGAGGTCCAAAACCTTCCGGGTGTTGTCCGTTCCCTGCCTCCCCGCTACAAATCCTACTTGGTCGTTGTGAATGAGAGATGGGAGTAGTGAGCTCAGTTGCCGGGCATATATTTTGGCGTATAATTTGGCGTCTGTATTGAGGAGGGATATTGGTCTGAAATTTGGGCAGTGTGTCGGGGGCTTCCCTGGTTTTGGTAGGGTGACGATGTGGGCAAGCAGTAGATCTTCTGGTAGTGATTTGGTTTGGGTGGCGGAGTTAAAGAGGGATGGCAAGTGCGGGGCTAAAACAGTCGCAAATCTTTTATAGTACCTGTTTGTGAAGCCATCCGGGCCCGGTGCTTTGTTTTTAGGTAAGGTGTGTATTGCATCTTTCACTTCGTCTGAAGTGATTAGGGTTTGCAGAGAGGTAGTTTGCTCTCTCGTTAGCGTGGGTAGGGGGATATCCTGCAGGTAGGACTGTATGTCATGTTCTGTCGGGTCGGGTGTTCGCTCGGACTGTGCCAAGTTGTAGAGGTTATTATAGTAGTTTGCAAAGGCATTGCTAATATCTATGGGGGAAATCACTTTTGTGTTGTCATGTGTGTATAGGTGTGATATTTTCGCGTTCGTTTCCGCTCGCTTTATGCGGGCAGCCAGCACTTTGCTTGCTCTATTTCCCTGGGCATAGTATGTTGCTTTGAGTCTGCGTAAGTTGAAGCTTACTCGTTGCAGCGTATGTAGTCTAATTTTGTCTGCAACTTCTATGATGCTTTTCCGTATTGCATCCGTGGGATGCGTTTTGTTTTTGTTTGTGAGGTCTATTAATTGTTTGTTCCAATTTAGCCATTGGGTTTGGTTAACTTGTTTCAGAGATGCTGCTCGTTTTAGCAAGATCCCTCTAACCACTGCCTTGTGTGCCTGCCATAGGGTACAAGCTGATGTGTCTCCCGTGTCGTTGAGCGTAAAATATTCTGTTATGGCTTCCTCTAGTTGGTTGGAAAAGGGCATGTCTGTCAGCAGTGATTCATTGAGTCTCCAGGGGCTCTTGTGTTTGTAGTCGTAGTTGTCTTTGAGGGTCAGTGTCAGTGGGGCATGGTCCGACCATGTGATTTGGCCGATAGAACAGTCTAGAACCTGGTCCAGGTGCGTGCTTTCCATATGGACTCTGTCTATTCTAGTGTACGTATTGTGCGTAAGTGAGTGATACGTGTAATCCCTTTCTTGGGGGTGTAGGACTCGCCATACGTCATATAGTTTATTGTTGTCTAATAATTTAAGGTATGATGCGCAAGTCCTGCGGTGGTTTGTTTGCACCACTCTGCCTGCATGGGACGTTGTGTCGTTTTTGGGATCTATGATGTGGTTAAAGTCCCCACATAAAACCAGGATACCCTCCTGTATTGGTCGTAGTATGGATAAGATTCTGTGTAGGAAATCTCTTTGCTTCGTGTTCGGGGCATATATGTTTGCTAGGGTATATTTAGTGTTATTGATTGTGCATACTATTATTGTGTACCTTCCTTCCTTGTCAGTCTGTGAGTGGTGGTGCTGGAAGGATACTGTGTTGCTAATCAGTATTGATGTCCCTCTCGTTTTTGTCCTTGCCGTAGCGTGGTATTGGTGTGGGTACAAGGATGGTTTTAGGGTCGGT